ACAGGGACTGCCCAACCTCAGAGACTCGGTGGTAGCACTGCTATGAATGTTTGGCTGTTACAAGCCAATGGCCCCTGCAGAAAACTTCAGGGATCAGAAGAATCGCAATCTTTATTCAGACTGATCATCAATCAAGAGGGAGTGAATTTTTGTTCGGCTTCACAGGTGTCTGTCCTCCTTGAACTCACCTTAGAACCCCTTAGAATACCCACAATGTTGAATCAGACAGATGAACTGTCCCCATCACTCCGTCTGACTCTGTCTTTTTTTAGCAATATTGTACATAGATATAATTTAAAAGATTTTGCCGAACATTAGCTGATTATTACCATTTTTTAAAAAGTTAAACAAAATTAGCATATGACTAACCCCTCTTCACATTAAAAACAAAGTCATTGTTTCACTCAGATTTTAATAAGATCCAGGTATCCTGGTGGCACAGTAGTTAAGAAGTCTGCTGCTAATACAGTGGTTCTCCACCTTCCTAATGCTGTGACTCTTTAATACAGTTCCTCATGTTGTGGTGATCCCAACCATAAAATCATTTTCATTGCTACTTCATCACTGTAACTTTGCTACTCTTATGAATCAGGCGACCCCTGTGAAAGGGTTATGCCACCCCCCAGTGGAGTCATGACCCACAGGTTGAGACCTGCCGTACTAATAGCAAGGTCAATAGTGTAAATCCATCAGTCACTTCATAGGAGAAAGATGTGGCAGTCTGCTCCCATAAAGTTGACAGCCTAGAAAACCCTATGGGGAGTTCTACTCTGTCCTTTCGGTTGGCAATGAGTCAGAATGAACTCAACAGCAATGATAGTTTCTTTTTGATACAAGTTTTACAATTCAGCAGATTTGATGACCTACCATGACTCCATTCCAACCACATGGAATTTGAGTGTTAAGCATGAAAATGGAAGAGAGGCCTAAAATTAAAAGCCCTAAAACATTTACATGGTGTAGGAATACAGTACATTGTAATCAAATGGAATTTACTAAGGGTGATTTTAAATAGTCCTCAGGACTTATGAACAAAAAATACTCAATAGGCAGAATGTTCAATGCTGTTGAAAAATTCTCACAAGCCTTTATTTTTCCAATTTATTCATGTATTAAATAGATCAGTATTGAGTTAAAGTCAGGGAATCAGTACTGAGTACAGTAATTACATTTTTCTATCATCACTTGAGATAAATGATAAATTCTAATTTTAAAAATCTATATTTAATTAGCTAATGAAAATGTAATTAAGTGATTCTACCTTTGTGAGACTAGGAAGCATTTTAGAGCTAAATCCTTAAAAAGGAAGGGGGAAAATCACATTTTCCTAAACATCCTGGACCCCCTAATTTAATCCTCTTTATAAGAAGTAGAATATTTGGTGAACATTACATATGCATTTTCTCTGACTCCACAGACAAAAACAAATTTCCTTTTCAGGGACTGGAGGTAAGTAATAATAGGGATAACAGCCTGGGTTTCGTGGGTTTAAGAATATTCAAAAACAGATCAGTAGTCTCTATTAAACCAAGCTCCAAACTCACTGCCATCTAGTCTATTCAGACCCACAGAGATGACGTGCAGCAGAACAGACTGTGCAAGTGGGGTTCTGAGACGGTAACTATTAATGGGAGTAGAAAGTCCCATCTTTCTTCTACGGAGCGGTTGCTGATTTTGAACTGCTGACCTTGTGGTTAGTAGCCCAACACATAACCACTATGCCACCAGAGCTCGTAGTAATAACTATTGACATACAATTCATAGTATACAATAGTTGTCATATTAAAGAGTTGTATAATCATTACCACAATACATTTTAGAATATTTTCTTCTTTCTTTTATTCATTGTTATTAGCTCCCCATTTTCCCCCATAAGCTCCTTGCCTGTCCCTATGAAACTGTCTATAGATTTACCTATCCTAGATTTCGTATACAGAAAAATAAAATAAAAACCAAAAAAATCCAACAACAACAAGATAAAACTGACGGAAAACCTCAATAGAAAATACTAAAAACTAGAACAAATTTTAAATGGGTCAAAAGGGAGATCAAAAGATGGTGTTACAATCGCTGAAGACAATGGGTGCACAAGCAAATGTGGTGAAGAAAGCTGATGGTGCCCAGCTACCAAAAGATATAGCACCTGAAGCCTTAAAGACCTAAAGATAAACAAGCACCATCTAGCTGAGAGACAACAAAACCAACACCGAAGAAGCACACCAGCCTGTCCCAACTCGACCACTGAGGACAAAGGGGGTGTGTTAGCAAAAGTGGTGAAGAAAGCTGATGGTGCCCTGCTATCAAATTATATAGCATTTGGGGTCTTAAAGGCTTGAAGACAAGCAGGCAGCCATCTAGCTAAGAAACAACAAAGCCCAAATGGAAGAAGCACACCAGCCTGCCCCGACACGAATGCTGAAGACAAAGCAGGTGCATAATCAAATGCGGTGAAGAAGGTTGATGGTGCCCAGCTGTCAAAATATATAGAATTTGGGGTCCCACAGGTTGGAAGATAAACAAGGGGCCATCTAACTGAGAAACAACAAAGCCCAAATGGAAGGAGCACACCAGCCTGTAAGATGACATGGCGTCGCAGGGATCGGGTATCAGGCATCAAAGACCAAAAAAAAAATCATAGCATTGTGAATGAGGGGGAGTGCAGAGTGGGGACCCAGAGCCCATC